GGTTCTACAGGTGTTCCCCCCTACGCGTGGACCTAATATCCAATTTCTTAATTAACCGACCATGTAATATCCGAACTCAGAATTTGGTCCAAGATAAATTTTTTAATTTATAAAGTATATATAAATAATTAAAAATCTTAATTTAATTTAGTTTTATTAATTTTTTTGAGAAAAATAAGTTAGTGACGAAATTGAAAGCAATTTTGGGGAAGAGTAGTGAAAATTTGAGTTCATGGGGTATTTTTTTTTAAAAAAAATTAGAAACATGAATTTAAAATGCAAAAGAAAAAAATTTGACCACATGCGACGGCACAGTCAGCAGTCATGGTGAACTAAAGTACGCCGCATGACAAAACACGCTGACATCGGTGCCACGCAGGAGCCCACGCGGGCGATCTGCCTGCCCAGCGATCCGACGGCCTAGATTCAATCTTGTACTCGTGAACGGCCTAGATGCATTCTCTCTTTAGGCGCGATCAAACAGATAAGATCAATCGTGATGAATGGTCTAGATTCGCCCACACAATTGGCCTAAACAGTTAATAATCGGACGAATTTCCTCGCTACACGTCGACGTGAACGGACAGCCTAGATAGATCCAGGATATGTATTTAAATATCGCGTCGTAGGATAACCCTAACCTTAGCTGAACCTGCCCTCGCCGGAGAAAAAGGACCAGCCACTGAAGAAGGTGACCGATCCTCGGTCGCTGCCACACTAAAGCCACTACTGATTGTCAAAAGAGTAAAATTCTCCCCTACCCGCTTGAAATTCGATTTCAAGTTTTTCTAGGGCCATATCAGAGCAAAAGAGACGACGGGTGATCCAAAAACTACAAACAAAATTCGACGAAGCCGCCATTGTCAAAATCCTAAAACCCTCTGATGAGCCCCTTTCCGTTTCTAGTTTCACACAATTTTTTGATCATTGTGTTCACCGTTATTTTCTGTGCAGCTTAGCCGAAGAAGAAACTCCAGCTACGAAGGAGAACCGGTAGAGCCGCTGCACTCGGAGACTCCCCCCCATTGATAGGTTCGATTTCTTATGATTTATTGACCAACCGAGGCTCCATAATATATTTTTTTTCATAGAAATACATGTAAAACCAGCCAAAATCGAATAGGCGGAGGAGAACCACTGCTGTGGGCAACGGAGCCAGCACCGAAGCACGGCGGCAGCGCCGTGCCGCAACTCTGAAATTGGCCATAAAGGATTTTCAACCATGATTTTAGATTTTTGGGGTATTTTTAAGTGCGTGATGAGTATTTTGAATTCCCACAAGAAAAATTCAGGAAATCCAAGACCCATTGGGAGGCGTAATAGATAGTACGACATTTTAAAACACCGATCTGTGTAAGAATCCCTCACTCTTTTTTTCGTTATGGTAGATTGAAGCTTAATAATCAATAATATTGTATTTTGTGAAAATTAAAAAAATCTTAAAAATATTATAGGTTACTAGTTGAGGCAAAACCGGTTAGTTCACATTTGTCTTAATTCTCTATTTATTTTCCTGTACTGCCTGTATTTGCTTACTATTATCCTGTGCATAATTGAATTGATAGTTTTTATAGTCTTCTCGATTATTTGGTTCATCTTGCATTATTTATTCGATATTCCGGTTATTTGGTTATTTGACTATGCTAAACTATATCGCTTGCTTAAATGCCATTTGAATTAATCTGTGAATATAAAATGAGATGTTGGTATACTGTAGTGATTGTTTGAATAATGAAAATCTAAATAAATAAAAGCTTACTGGGCATCCTTAGAAAGAGTGGACGGACCCGGTACATAGGGAACTCCACCATGAACATTAACTCAGTCGGACAGGGCTGAGAAGTCTCATACTGGATGAGTTTTGGGAGATATGATTCGCCCTCATATCGGATGGGGTATCGAGGCGATAGTGTTTTTGACGTTAACTACCTAACAAGATATGGAGACGGCCGAGTTAATTGTTGAATCTTGATACTGGGTCCACGAGTAGAGGGATATCCCTATGGACCCCTATAGGTCCTAGTTAGTAGGTTAAAAAAGAAGGATTGCTGATCTTATGCATAAAATTGAAATATCATTTGGTTAATTATTTTCATATGTTGATTTTAGAAAAAAACTATAACAATGAGTATCGAATAAAAAGTTTTAAAGTTCAATGTATTTACTTAAAACAAGAGCTCCATTAGTTATTTTTTTAATTTTTACCAACTTTCGATTTTTTGTATCAATTATCAGTATGATATTCTTGCTAGGGTAGTGTAGCTCACTATTTCATTAACCATTTTAGATCAAGAAAACTAAGATCCAAATATCAATCAGCACCATTTCAGATGAAGGAAATTAAAGTCCAAATCTCTATTAGTAAGAGAGTTGTGAGTAGTTTACCTCCCAGACTCTCTTCAAGTACTTGTGAAGATTACCCCTATGAAACTAATTTATTCATTTTTTTTTAATTACTGTTTGGCTTTTATGAACCTCGTAGAATGGACATTCTTGTAACGTTATTAGACATTTTAATTTATTGTGTAAGGAATGTAAACCCTAACATTATTATTTGCTTCTGTATTTAAAAATATAAATTCATTTTCTTTGAGTTCCAGGCATTTACAGGCTGTTTCCTATACTCCGTCCGATAACGGGCACCAAACATACTACCGCCTCAATGCCCAATCTAGCATGCCGGTGAATCAATACTTTCTAACCCCTTCCAGTATGAGACTTCTCAGCCCTGTCTGACTGAGGTAATGTCTACGGTAGGATTTTCTTATGTACTGGGTCCGTACATCCTTTCCCATGATACCTGGTAAACCCTTTTCAAATACATATATTTACGCCATCAACCAACCACCAACTACACACAAATATTTAATATTTGTATATCTGTGGAATGTCATCTAAACAAATAATACGAATTGGCATTATAACAATTAAGAAAAATGTGATTTGGGTCTTTATTTCAATCGATCAACAAATGAGAAAAATGGTTAAATAATTAATAATGGGAGGGCAAATAAATCTCAAAATAAAAGTGCACGTGGCAAGCAAACAAACACATCCTAGCAATAGATAAACAGTAAAGGTAAAATAAACAATTTGTACTGACCGATTACCGGCTCCACTGGTGACATGTATTTAGTCAATTAGGAATTTTTAATATTTATAAATTACATTGTTATTAATTATTAAATTTTAATTTACTGTAATGGAAAAAATGGTGAGAGATTCCTATCCCAGGTCAGTGTTTGAGACGCTGTCTTTTTCACTGCATTTTTTGGTGGTTCTTGGATTTCCTGAATTTTTTCTATAAAAATCAAAAACACGCGTTACATACTTTAAAATACTCCAAAAAGACCAAAATGCGCATTTTAAAATTTTTTCAGTCGGTTTAGGATTTCGGCACGACACTAGCTCTGCCACCCACGACAGTATCTCCTCTTGGCCTGGCGATTTTCAGCCGATTTTGCATGAAAACCTACAAAAAATGGGGTTAGACAGGCTCTGTCAGCTAGAAAATGGGAAAATCGAAGCCTTACAAGTGAAAGGATTTTTCGGTGCGGTGGGTCCACCATTCCTCCCTCGCGGTCTGAGCTTCTCTTCGGCTAACCTACACCAGAAGAAGATCGGGAACACAAAGGTTAAAGAAATGAAGGAAACGGGAAATGGGAAAGAGCTTATCGAGGGATTTTTGGGTAGCAGCCGTGGCGGCTCGACCAAGCTCTGCTCGCAGTTTTTGGCTTACCCTCTGGTCTTTTGGCTTCGATATGGGTGTGGGAGGTTTGAAATTCAATTTCGAACGGAAAGGGGGAAAATTTACCTTTCCGGCGTCGACAGTGGCTCTGATGTTGTAGCGACGACGATCAGTTTCTTTCTGGTTGCCTTTCTTCTTCTTCTTTGGCGAAGATTGGTGCGGTTAGGGTTAGGGTTAGGATTTCCTGGAATGCAAAGTTTAAATACCCTTTCTGAGTCGTTCTAGGTCGTCCGTGCATGGACATGTGGCCTTCTCCCGTCCGTTGGTTCTCTCTTATTCGGAGAATAAATATGGGTCGTACGATCGGATCGAATCTGACTGTTCGATCACGCTTGAAGAGAAAATAGATCTGGACCGTCCGTGCGCACAGGAGGGGATCTGGGCCGTTGGATTTGCTGGCACGCGAATCACCTGCGTGGACACATGCCCACGTGTCTGCCACGTGGTGCACGAAGATCGGTTGCGCTGCTGATGTGGCGATCCACGTGGTCAAATTTTTGTAAATTTCATTCTTACACCTATTGTTTTAGATTTTTTTTTCAAATAGATTCTCATTTATTTATACTTTGACTTTAATTTTCGAAAATGTTTTAAAATATATCCAAAACTCAATTTTCTTCAAAAATTCACAAAAAATTTAAAAATATAATAAAGACAAATTATTTTAATTTATTTTTTTATCAATATTAAATTATTCCGGGCTAAATTTTCAGATCCGGATATTACAATTATATTTGAATTTGATGGATAAGATCATAATTGCAAAAATTGAAGGCTGAAATTTGATTATGATATGTTTAGGTGTGACATATTTATATCAATTTGGATTTTAGGCATGTCCAAAATCGTCTGCCATGACGTCTCGTCCATGAAATCATCCCCTTTGCGTCATCTTTCTCCCTTCGCTTTCGTGGACCATTTCACTTAGTAAAAGAAAATTAAAATTTCTATTATTCCTATTTTTCTCCTTTCCAAACTCAAAAAATTACAAAAACAAAAATTCAAGAAGCTTAGAAATTTAAAGATATGCTCAAAAAAATAATTTGTAAATTTTATTATGTCTTAAGATTCATAAGAGTTAAATTAAATAAATTATGAATATAATAATTAATACGCATTTTTTAAGTTTTAAAAAGTAATTCATATTTTAAATTTAATCATAGTTTAAGAATTATATTTCATTTATAAAAAACTTTAACATATATATTAACACCTATATTTACCAATGTATTTGGAGATTTATAAACATAAAAACATAAATTCAAATATTATTTAGAGTTAACATTTTATCTTTACATTTTTCCCAACAAGATCATCATCATAAGGTTGAATTGAGAGTTCACTGAGAGAAAGTTTCTTCTGGATTCATTTGAAGTTGTGATTTCATTAGAAAAAGTTCATAACTTTAAGATTTAATAAGAGTGTCTAGGCCTTGAACATATCCAAACAAGCTTGAGCCGTAAGTGACGATCTGCTCCAGAACTTGGAATAGTATTCACCATAGCTGAAATTTCTATAAACAGATGGACGATGAGCAGGGCCGATCACTGCATCAAGAGATGGACAGTAGAATGTTGGAATCGATATTCTTTCCCTCTCGCTGTTCACCACCGCTCTATGAACCACACTCTTGTACTTATCATTGCTAATCACCTGATCAACCAACCCATAACGTTATTCATATATTTTGCACCTATACATACGTATATACGTATAACAACGTATTTACCTGCATTTGGTCACCGATGTTGATGATGAAGGTGTTGGGAATGGGATTGACAGCAACCCATTTCCCGTTTCTAAGGACCTGCAATCCAGGAACGTCATCTTGAAGAAGAACTGTGATCAAGTTCGGGTCGGTGTGACCCGGTAACCCGTAAGTAAGCTCGGGTTCTGGACATGGAGGGTAGTAATTAAATGCCATGTGCTGTCCATGCTTCCCCAACACTTTGTTTATATAATCTCCTCCCAGACCTAAGCTCTCTGATATGGCTTCCACCAACTTCAAAACCAAACCTCTAATTCTGCTGCAGTACTCTGCGACATCCTCCCTGCACTCAACTTGCAAATGATTTATATATAATTATCATGTATATGTATATATGCATGGTTGTGAGAGATTATAAGGGAAAATAACCTAAAGAAAGGAGGATTTGTGGGCCATTCGTGGATGTAATCCTGGACAGGGTAACAGTGGAGTCTGAGAAAATCTCTCCAGTTGGAAAACTTCTCAGTCTTCACATTGAAACTGGTGGATAGCCTAGTTGTTTTTGCCGGATCATCGGAGTAATTCTCCAACCTTTGGCTCTCCGGCAATCGGAAAAACTCTCTCGCCAGCCTCAGAATTCCGTTAATCATCTCCTCCGGTACTCCGTGGTTCTTAACTTGAAAGAAACCATGTAGTTCACAGGCCTGCGCGATCTGGTTGATAATTTCAGATCGACGAGGGCCGTCGAGACCCTCCAGGTCTATGAGAGGAATGGAGGAGAGTTCTGATATCTCAACGTCGGCGAGATTTGGACGGTCGGAGATTGGCTGGATATATTTGGCGGGAACTTGTTTCAGGTTAGAGGCAAGGTCGGCGAGGAGCAGTTTGGTTGCTGCCATGGATTTTGAGTTTTAAGAGAAGAATATGCACTGGTATTAACTTGCTGCCTTTTGGCCCCTTTTTATAGTCGCTCTATTTTAAAATCAAAATTATTTTTTAATCAATTATTATTGTTATTATTATTATTATTATAGTTTCACTCTTCGTCATTTTTCTTTTTTAGTGCATTTACTGAAGAACTGAATCCACGTGGTTAAAATAAGGAAGGTATATCTTTGCCAACTACACTAATCTTTATTATTTATACTATTTTGTGGATTGATTTAATTATTGCTATTTTTATATTAAATTATTTTTTTCAATTTTATTAATTTTAATTTATTATATATGTATAATTATGATAGGACTAATGCAATATATTGAAAGCCGATATATGTTTTGACACGATTGATTCAAACCCGCATGACGTCACTCTTTCGTGACGTCATCCTCGCACGTCATCGGAACTTTTATTCACACAGCATTAGCATTTCTCGTCTGAACTGGTAAAATCAATGCCGCGCACATGCTCCATACATCACCCGTCCATTCCATACGTATTGACTTAAATATTTAATTCATTATTTATATTGTATTATGATATTTTCTTTGATCTGCATGGAATTAAAGATATGAATTATATAAAAAGGTCGGATTATATAGTTTAAGTATTAAAAGTTTGTCATTAAATTTATAAAAACTAGTTTAATTTTTAATTTTTTTTTTATGTTATCTATAAATTTTTTTTTTTTTATTTTTATAAAGTTCAAAATTATAACAATAGAAAATAAATATATTGTATTAATTCACATCATCAAGTACATGATTTCGTAATTGAATGGTTATAAAGAGAAGAAATAAATAATTGACTTTTCGTAACAAAACTCCCATTCATCAATTTTCTATTTATTGGGGTATATAATAATCTTCTATTATATATATATATATATATAAAGCTACAGATTATTGGCACCGCATTAAGTTATATATTATGACGGAAAATTAATTATTTCTGGGATTAATTTAACACATACACATATTAATTCACATCACTAAGTAAAACTCTGTGTATGAATAAGAATATATATAATTTCGTGCTTAAATTACTGAATAGATAGAACAGAACGAGAGAAAATTTTCGTAATAATTCTTTAATATTTTATAATCATTTAATAAATTTATATAGTTTCGACTAATATTATGTAGTTATTCGACACTGTAAGATTTAAGTCAATATAGATACATAATGCCACTAAAGCCCTCTAATAGAGTTAAATAATAAAAATGAATATACTTTTTTAAAAAAATTAAGTTAATAAATATTACTTATACATTAACACACTTTTCTATATATAAATTTATTAAACAGAAAAGTGTAAATCAATTATTAAAAGAAAATTAATTAATAATCAAAATGTAAATATTAAATGTGTAATTTGCATTTCTTGTTGGTAAAATACAAACGAATTTTATAGTAATTAAAAAGCTAATACATCATTGTTAGGTTAAGAAAGTATTAAGTAGCGTACAGATACAGAAGGTAGGCCGGGGAAAGGCTGATATCAGAAGATGAGGAAAGTTCACCTAATAAGTTTGTCGCCATTGTCATTTCTTGTTAGGAAATTAATTGCGACCTGTGGCTGGCCTTCTTGTAATCTAGTTAACTTCTGTGAACAAGAGTACTTGTACACCCCCTCCCCTCCCTGACCCATTTCCAAAAACAAGTACGTAAAACAAATGAGTTGCTAGCATTCCCAATCCCATTTCTAAATCTACTCACATTTTTAAGTTGAAGTTTTCTTTTCCAAAATTTCTTTAAGAGACCATGTGGTACAGGTGAGTCCGGTTTTGGCCAACCGAATTAAGCACGGACTCGAATTAATTTTTCTCCAATCAGATCAGGCTGGATCGAAAAACTCCAATACACACAGCACCTGATGCTGGCAATTGCAAAGTACAATACTCAGAATCCAAACAACTTTGTCAATTCTCAACTTATAAGCAGGTTCATCCGGCAAAATCTCCATCACCAAAAAATATATTGTAGAAATAAGTCACAGAATACGAGCCTCAGATAGAGATACAAAGCCCATAGCAAACTATCCTGTGGCAAATTTGACATTGTTCCAAGGGAGTTAATGTTCCCACAATGAATGGTCGAAATGAGATAATGAAACTACAATATATTTAAATGTTCAGGTCTACTTAGTCAATTCTCCAAGATAGTTGGATATTACTTGAGAGAAGGCTTCGGTACAAAATTTCAGCGTTGGGCATTGAAGAGAGATCGGCTAACAATACCCGTTGCCTCAATGTAGCGGTCAACACATCTAGAGATACAACTACTCTCACTGCCACTCAGACTCGACCCTGGTTTTGTGATGCACTTGTCAAAGCACTTCTCTCTCACAGTCTGCAAGTATAATCAAATATAATTCAAAAAGCAATCAATAATGCAAACTGTGTACGAGTAAGGAAAAATAATGCCAGTGGAGATGCACAACTTTCTGAAAATCCTATTTGACTATGGAAGAACCACTACGGATTTACTTTCATTTCTCGGACTGCTACCAACAAAGTTCAAGAGCAAAATATGTAATGTGCAAATGATCATGTATTCAACTTGTAAACATTGAACTAACAGCATATAAGCAGGATCCTTGCATATCCAGCTAACAAAGCTTATGTTTGAGATAAATCCAAAAATGTTATGAAATTCATTTACATAATCCGCACTTAGTCCAGCTAGAAAAGAATACAAATTCTACTAGAAAATGATAAAAATCACATTACATCTTAAACTGGAACCGTCACAGGTGTGACAGCTTGGAATGCTTACTACCAAAATTTATAGAATTCAAAATGTTTGTTCTAATTCCATATGGAATTCTACATGAAGTCAATTTTTACCAATTTAGGGATGATGATGTAGGAAAAAATTAAGACTAATTTGTCTTCTTAAGAATTTAGAATATAACACAGTTTCTTGAACATCATAAACTGAAATTCTTAAGCATCACATTTAACAATTTGATTGCATCATACAACCAAAAAGATTGAAAAAATTCTCCTAAGTTGCTTATTGAATATTTGGACTTGTCTCAAAAGTGAGATTAGTTAATACCCAATTAGAATTAGATTAAGGCATAGTACAATAGATATTACTAGGAGTACAATTACTAAGGAAAACATATTAAATTCTAAATATTAAATTCCACATAAAAAGTCACACTAATTAATTTCTAATCTTAGCCCATACTATTATGACAATTTGTAAATTGGCTAGAAATACAAATTCTTCATCTACTTAGAAGATCTATTTCATATTCATTTTTCATCAAAGGATTTAAAGCATCTGCTAAATTCATTTTTCATCGAAGGATTTAAAGCATCTGCTAAATGAATTAACTGTTGATTTACAAATAAATTTCACGAAACTAATACATCTGTTCCAAAGATAGACTAATCTACTTTCCACTTGCAGAGTAAATAATAGGTTGGCAAATCACTTCAGCAACCGAAGCAGTTTAAAATCATAAGCAGTAACATTGAGGCAAAAATATTGGCGAAAACCAATAGCTCAAATCAACCAATTCATAAAAACATCCATTTGTTTGTAGATAATCTTTAACCAGAAGATTCGTCCTAGGTACTTTAGCTCAATCCTGCAAGGTAAGTAGAATGAGCAAATATAGGACAGATGCTCCTATTAATTAAAGCTTCATTATCACAAGAATAAAAAATCTCTAGGGAAAAACTGTATTGAACATTCATAAGACTATAACCATTAATCAATTAGGCACAGGAGAAAAGCTCCTCACAGCAAATCTTGGACATGTTACTTTGAAAAATGTTTGTTTTTTTGAATGAGCCTCTAAAATGTCCAGTTAACCTACTACTGGTACCCCTAAATCAAACTTTTGGAAATCATTTTGCTTAAAACTTAAAGAATACATGATGGATACCACATAACCTCTTTAATGCATAAAAAGATTTCTTCTGCAGCCTGTTTGGTTCAATTCCTATCTATTTTTTTTAATTAATTACTAAAATATTTTTGATATGTAAAATTGTACCGAATTTTCACGTTTGACTCAATTCAACTCTTACCATTATTGAATTCCTTGCAAAAGGTAAACTCCTACTTTCTACCAAGAAATTCAAAGGAGTGAGAATATGAATTGAACCAAACACTGTTAAAGTTCTAAAGTCAGAGGCTTGACACGCCCAAACTTAAATTTGATGAAAATAAATATGGCTTTGATGGTCCAATGCTCAATATTTGTTTCTGCAACTAGTAGTTAAACGGACAGAGAATTTCTCTCTAACCCAAACACTGAAGAACTACAAGGATTTGAACCCGGGTAACACACAGTCAAGTTAGTGGAAAACATTTTGATTCCAAAGCCCTAAAATCAGCTGTAAAAAGTACGGCCGGGGAAGATTACTAATAGAGCTAAAACCCGAATCCAAAAATCAAAGGTAAGAGAAAATGAAGGAACCTCGAGGAACTCCTGGGCATAAGCCTGGGCAAGCTGAGTCTTGAACTGGTCCATGAAATCCTCAGTCGACATCTGGGGTGAACCAGATCCCGCCCCTGATCCGATTGACGACGATGAAAACGAGTCCATTCTCTCTATCTTCCCCTCTGTTTCTGCCGCCCTCCCCAGGCCACTCGATAAACCCTAGAATAGACGAATACGGGTTTTACACCTTTCGCAACCTAAAACCTCCGCAAAACCGTGAAGCACCAAGAAAAATTAGAAGATCAGGAAGGCCCAAAGAATCAAATATGGCCCAAGCTCACATTCTGCGAACCCGGGCCATAAGAACTGAACAACTTATGGACCGGGCCACCAATCTATCATTTCATCTGGGTTCTAATAATTAGAGGGGAGGAGGATAACACGTGGCAGACATGGGAGTAGGAAGCGCAGAGTGATGTACCACAGCCGACACATATGTATACGGGTAGAAGAATGGGGTGGAGGAGAGATAGGGATACCCCAAAACTGGATGGTCCTCTAGCTGGGGGTAGAGTGGTCCAGTGTCTATATTATAACCTATATTTACTAAAATACCTACATGCCCATTTCCCAATTAGCTAGCTTCTACAGTCCATTTTATCAAGTACATTTTTTTTTTTTTTTGTTTATTATTATTTTTTTAATTCTGTGTGTTAAAAATTAATGTAAAAAGAAAATTCTATATATCATCGTCACGTACGGCAGGCAATTACACAGGTTTAACAACTGCAGGTTGCAGCATGTTCCCATTGTATAAATTAATAGACTCCTCCTATTTGTATGTATGAAATTTGTAGGCCGCACAACTCTTTTAACTTTTTCTTTTTTTCTAAAAATTATTTTGTTAATTCAAAATAAATTTCCTTCCTACGAATTTAAAATAATAATTTAAAATTTTATCGAATTCCAACTACGTATTTTATTGTATTGTATTGTGAATATATATTATTACTCAGTTAATAAAAAAATATTTATTTTTTGTTAAATAAAGGTGTGGAGGAGGGAGTGATGACTTAAAATCAAGTTTTGAAACGTGAAAAAGGATTAGATATCGGGGGGGTGGGTCCATTCCTGATTCTTAAACAGCTGGGTCACATTAAAAAAAAAAAAAAAAAGTCAACTATTTCGTTCTTCTATTAATTCTTTATCTCACATTTTTCTTTTTTCTTTTTAAATAAATAAATAAAATTAAAATTAAGTTATTTATATTTTTAAATTATACGAGGAGTATAATTCAAATTTTATAATAACAGCATTATCTTAATAATTAATTATTTTATTTAAATAAAAAGAAATATAATGATTATTTAATTAAAGGAATTAGGACGATTAATTGGGCTGGCCGCTCAAATTAACAAGTCGATTCTTAAGAAATTAAAGGATGCCTCAAAATTTTGTGGGTCAAAAGAATCCTCCTCTCCCCTCTACATCTATATATATATACATACATATATACTACCCACATGTGTACTTACGTATAATTTAACTAGCCTACATGCGCACATATATATATATATATATATATGGTAATATATGTTTTAAATCATGAACACGGTAAAGTTGTTGATTAATAATTAGTAAAATCATGATAACTAGTTCAATATATGTTAGCTGATTAGTCCAATGAATGCTAACGTCATTGCAATCGGGACAGATGACGAAAGCTTTAAATTTAAATAAATTAATTTAACGGCACTTGAACCAACAAGTAGTAATTAATTATTATTATTAACTAATTACTATTTGTGTTAATTAATTAAGTATTAAATGATAACGACAAATTTGTCATGTACACCTCTTTCAGTTTTCTAGATTTGAGCTGTTGATAATATATACTATCATTATGCAGTAATTATTATGTTTGCAAACAGCTGAATCAACCAACCGTAACACAGACATGTTAGCATTACAAGATTCCTACATAAATGTATTATATATATATATATATATGTTTATATATGTGTTTGTGTTTGTCAATATTCTCTCCAGCCATACATACATACATAAACCCAGCGATCTCGGAAACCGTGGGTGTGTTTTTGTTAATTTGTGAGTATAAAATTGGCATAGGGATATAGATACGTATATTAAATTCGCATATGTATATAATAATTTATTACTTTTAGAAAACTGATGTGTATATATATGTACACGAACATATATAAATCTTTAAGATGTATGGAGTATATATAAATAATTTATATATGATTATTATTATTAGTAAGCTATATGTTGTGTACAAGTTGAGTAGGTGATGGTTTTGAATTTGCAGGCTTTTTTACGGGTGGGCTATATTAGTGACCCACCATGCTGCAAATTGAGATGCTGAATCCTCCTGGTTGTCAGCTTAATTCTCATCACCCTCACACACTTAATACATACATATATATTTATATATGTATGCAGCCTCTATTTTCATGAATAACGTATGTGTTCGTCCCATTTATAACATTAAAAGGGTTTATAAAAGTAATTTGTTTGGATAATAATATTTAATAAATTTATTCAAATAATAAATTAAAGAGGTCTGAATTAAATAAGATTGTTATAATAAATTTAGTAAAAAAAAAATAGGAATTTAATTATTTAATTAATCCACGTACATGATTTTCCCCCATCTGGGTTGGCCACCACCTCAGCAGGGTGGTCCGTACGAATTAAATGAATCCCAGTCTCTGAGGATAAGTTAAAAAGTCACAACAATTATATATAATAATTATGGAGGTTATTTTAATTAAATATATATATTTTTTTTTAAAAAAATAATAATAATATTTTAATATAGGAAAGGGGGACCAAAAAGTGGAAAGCAAAAAAAAAAAAAAAAAAAAAAAAAAAAAAAAAAAAAAAAGTATATAGTTGGAGAAATTGAATTACAATATTAACAATAACAAGTTCCCAGGGACCTCCACAAAACAGCTGGCTTGGAGGACCTTATCACGTAAATAACACACACACACACACAATATATATATATATATATATATATATATATAATGCAGTCTATACATACATATATATATATATACATTGAAAAGTTAATATAATGTATATAACATGTATTTATTAATGAATACCACCCAGGATGATGACAGCGACTAGCTCACATGAGCCCAACCAGATCATACTTGGAGACCCTACCTCTCCTCTACTCACACGATACATGTATAGATATTTATACACACACATTTTACATACACACACGTATATATATTTTTCATCTGTTGGGCCTATTACAAAAACTGCATAATCTAACACTTTGAATTTATTTTTAAAAAATAAGTAAAAATATTAATCATACAACTAAAAATAATTTGTCACGCATTTTATTTAATTTCCTTATGGGATAAGATTTGAAGTCAGATTATTTATTCATGTATCATGCATACTATTTAACTGTACGAAATAATATTTAGTCGACAGGTGTAATTAATGTTTAATATGAGAAAAATAGATAAAAGACAATATAATATAGTATTTATATATATATATATATATATTTAAGTTTAACATTGTAATTTCGAATTAAAAATAAAAATAAAAAGGCTCAAAATTAAATAAAATAAAACATATTATGCGGTTGTGATTGTGATTGTGAAGATTTGGGCCAATTGTAGAAAGTAAAAATTATAAATAATAATGAAAGTTAGAACAGAGAGGTGGGAATTTACACCTTACCGTGCTGGAATTACTCGAATTATAATAATTACTTGCAGTAAATTTATTATTACTTACTTTTAACTGTAGGATTAGTAAAAAAAAAAAAAAATTATGTGTTAGAACAGATTATATGTTTATGAGTATTTTTGTTAAAAATAAAAAAAAAATTATATTATAGTTAGTGTATATTTATTATATAATTAATAAAAAATTTATTATTCATGCAATGCACAATTTTCACCTTAAAATCATTTAACACAGTTGCTACAATAAAATTGGAAAGAACAAAAAATAATTATTTTACAATTACAATAAATTAACAAAATATTTATATATAAAAAAAGATTAAAAAAATCTTTTTTTAAAAGAAGAAAAATTATCCGAGTTGAGAAGCTTCGGGGAGGCACATCCTGTGAGAAAAACAACACAACTATTCTCCTTATTATTATCATCATAAATCACAACTCTAGTATCCATTTTCTTTCTCCCTCTTCCTCTCTCCTTAATTTTCCAAGGTCAACAACCAGAGGAAATTGCACTTACACGAGGGTGAGTTGTGTTAGTTTCGTGTTTCATGGAGTCGTCTTCTTCTTCTTGGTCAAAGAAAAAAGCACCGACCCTTCCACCATAATCACACCCTACTTGAACTTGCTTTACTACTCTTTCTCCTTATGGTTCTTTAAAGCCATCTTCTTTCTACGCGTTAAATCAAGTCAACAAGATGAAATTTAGTATTTTACTAAACATCGATCTCATCCACCTGCTAGCCATGGCCTACTTCACTTGTTGCCCTTGATTTTCCATCTCCCGTGTTGTTTTTCTTTTCTCCATTGTCGCTTTTATCTTCTGCTAATTCTAGGTACGACAAAAAGAATTTTACTGAATTAGTTTGTTGCCCTTCATGGAGTTTGGAAGAGATCAAGGGTTTTATGGAGAAGAAGAAGAAGAGCACTTGAGTCATAAAGGTAAGCACCCTTTTTCTAATTACTCTTTCTCCACCTCTCACTCCTCATCTTCTTCCCACTTCAAGCCCCAGAATCCGGCTCTTCTCACCGGCGCCAGCCGCTGGGATTCGCAGATTCACAACATAGGTTCATGGTTAGGCAACAGATACGACCCAGATGAGGAATATAACTCCAAGTCATGCAGCGATGGCGGAGTCACAGGGAAGCTTGATTTCATGGATGCTTCACCAGCAACCGAATTAGACGAACCTCCTCAAGCTGATTCGGATTCGTCCTCGTCGGTTTTGGAACTTCACCGGACTGGTGGTGCAACCGCCGACACTGTTCTTCCGATCGAGAAGGAGCACATGTTTGACAAAGTGGTAACCCCAAGTGATGTGGGTAAATTAAACCGTCTGGTGATTCCGAAGCAGCACGCGGAGAAGTATTTCCCACTAGATTCATCCTCAAACGAAAAGGGTCTGCTGTTAAACTTCGAGGACAGGAACGGGAAGGGATGGAGGTTCAGATACTCTTACTGGAACAGTAGCCAAAGCTACGTGATGACGAAAGGCTGGAGCCGGTTTGTAAAAGAGAAAAAGCTCGACGCCGGAGACATAGTCTCGTTCCAGCGAGGCGTCGGTGAGGCAGGGAAAGATCGTCTTTATATAGACTGGAGGAGGAGGCCAGATGCGCCCGATCCAACCCACCATTTCCCTCTCCACCGCAGTATCCCCTGGAGTCCGCTGCTTCTGCGCCCACAAACCATGGCGAGGGACCATCATTTTCACCTCCCACATGTTGCAAGTCTCAATCGAGCTAGCTATTATGGCGGTTCCGTAGTGAACCCGGTCGGCACAATGGGGTCGGTTTTGTACCTCAGACCAGGGTCGCAGCAAATGGGCATGGTCGAGTGGCCGCAGCACCAGCATCAGCGAGAGCATCCAATGGTGTTTGACTCGGTGCCGGTGGTCCATGGTAAAGCGGCGGCCAAGAGACTTAGACTGTTTGGCGTGAACATGGATTGTCCCATTTCGAATTCTGAGGAGCATGAGACTCTAACTCACCTTTCATCGTCGTCGTCATCCTCTCAACACTCCCTCCAATTACGACTCTACAACGGCACACCGTTTACGCCGACGGATTTCCTCAACAAAGAAAATTAGTTAATCGATGCAGTGAAATGTGTAATTTAATTGAAGAACCCAGTGGTTGCAATGGCTGTAATTAGGGGTCAATGATGCGAACAACACGAGAAGAAGAAGGTGAGAGAAGCCTAAAAAGAACTGAACTGCGGCGACTGGCCAGCTAGCTAGACTACTAAATGGGTATTAGATGTTTAAATTCCCTCTGATTTTCTACTTTTTGTTGATTGCAAGAATACCCAGAAAGTGAAATTCACATTGCAGGCCAGTTATGGTCATTACTATGATCATCAGTATATCAATAAAATTAATCACTCAAGACGTATATATATCTATATATATTCACATGGGTATGCTCTTTCACAGTTTTACATTTAGGATATATGCATTAATTGAATTCATGAAGATAAATATCTGAGTAGATCCATCACACCCAAGATTCCAGGTTTGCTTTCTGTAGGGTCTAGCTTTACTCATCAAAGCCATTCTGTGCTGAATTGCTTCCCGCACATGTCTATCTTTTTATTCTCATCTCAACTACTCTCTTTAGATATAATAACAATCTTTGCAGAGACTCTTCAGAAACTGATTGCAGTGCCATCTGCCTGGTATGATTAATGAACCTTGTTCTTCTTTTTTCTTTTTGGGGGGGGGGGGGGACTCTTTTATATACTGTGGTAGGTCTGCTGGTGCATTGGACACGCCTGATCGGTTGGCAGGAAAATTTTGCAGAGTGTTTTAAAGGTTGGATCTATCATTCACCTTATCTTATATATATATATATACATATATATCTTTTCCTTTTCTGGTTCTGTCTTCTTTATTTTCTAACATCCATGATTCAGTTATTTACTTAATTTCCGTGAATCATGATGATCTATATACATGTTGTAAATGGAATTGAGGTGGAATACGAACTCTGATGTAGTAAATGAGTATCATGACATCTGACCGACATGTTTTTTTGACATCTATATATAGAACATATAAATCCATGTCATGCAGTGTGCTTTATTACCGTCAATTGTCCCCATTCACTAACTATAACCAGCTAAATTTGCCACTGATAATGTGGTTTTGACTTGAAAGTAAGGATTTGAACTCAAACTTTATTGCTTTTGACATTTCCTTTATGGTAAATTTTGTTGGTAACTCAAATTTCTAAATGAGAACGTGATATTACTGTTGAAAATAATAAGAAGTTAAGTTAAATATATGTTATGAATATCATAACTAATATATATTTTCTGAGTTTTCTTAAATGTTTCGTCTATTAAACTTAATTATAGCTTATGAATTAGATTTAACTATAATTCATGTATTTGAAGTTTTGAAAGTTGTGTTAGTGTTTATATACATTCAAGTACTTGAAGATTTTATATGTACAACCACAAATTAAAAAAAAAAATTGAATCTTTTTATTAATCTCTCATTTTCAATAAAATATTACTTAAAGTTGATCTTATCTCTTAAATTTTTTTTCCAACAATAACATTAACTTACACTCTTTATACAAAATAGTTTTTCTCCAATATATAGTTGCTTATAATGTAATTTTTGGATTGGAGGTTTAAATTCACTAACAGTGAAAAGATAATCGAGAAGGTATGATACATATTCTGCTTGGACTTTTATGTATAATTTGATCCTCAAATTCTAATTTACTCATTTTTCTTATTCTATGATCATTCAGTTCCTCACAATGCATAGAGCATGCCAGCAACACATACTATTTGGAAGAAGAACTAATGATTACTTACATGTGTACTTACTCCTATTTTAATTGCCCATACATCATCCATGTGTATGAAAAATGTGTTTATATAAATATACGTGTATGTATATTGTCACTTATAGGTGGATAGATTGATTTTACTACTTTTCGTGTTCATAGCATAATAAAAAAGCATACGAATTTTTACTACAAAATATATAACAGTAAATGATTGATCCTGATGAACTCAGACACCCATTGATTTGTATGTGTATATCTACGGATGAATGCATAGGAGTATATCATTTTTCTTTTAGTTTCTTATAATTTTGCCCGTTTTGGTTATTTCTTATATTATACGTACAATTTTTGTAATTTATCCATTTGCATCCTTTTCTCCCAACTGGTTTTGCTAAGGCCAAAATCCAGTCGGGTAAGTGCAACGATTGGTAGATTAGATATCCTTTATACATGCATACAGAAGAAACTAGGAGTCGCTTACATACAAATATATATTTATGTATGTACATGCATGTATACAGAGAGATTGATCGAGAAAAAGGCGGGGGGGAAGGGGTGGGGGAAGAGATTGTGGACATTACAGACGGCCAGTACATATATATATATATATATATATAATTTACTACGTGTGTGTGTGTGTGTGTATAGGAGTGTTTTGTGATATATATATATATATATATATATATAGAGAGAGAGAGAGAGAGAGAGAGAGAGAGAGATGAGAAACATTCATGGGTACGTCAATGACTGAACCATAAAGTGGTCTTCTATATTTTGACCAATGACTGAATGGCTCTCTTACTAATCAAATTTAGTAAATGCTTGCAAAATATGTACACATACATATATATGTATGTGTGACTGTATGAATTCATCAATTTGGTTTGACTCTAGTATGCAGTACATCATGTATGTCTTCGTTTTTTTTGGAAGGTAAAGAAATCATTTTCATTAAGGACAGACTTGGAAAAACAGGTAGAAACTTGACACACTATATCTATAGAAAAGATGAGAATGAAGCCACTATATCGGGTATATCTATACTTATATATGGGTATATGGATGTTCTTACCAAGTTCTCTTTTGGTTCTTTTCTGGTATATCCATTCTTCATTGTTTCTCTCTAGCTATTTTCTACTCTGTTGGTTAATTTTTTATTCATCTCTGAATTGATCGGATAATCTTCAGTTTTGAACTCCACATTTACATATACACACATATATATATATATAGAGAGAGAGAGAGATAGAGAGAGAGATAGATATGGAGCTTGAAGATGGTAGCATGCAGTACATCCTGATGATATCTTCAAAAATTCATTCATGTGAATTTGGAGGGACCATATATATATATATATATATATATATATATATATAAAGGGAGAAATTATTTGATTTGACTTGCTTTCTAATTAAATTAATTTGGTTAAAAATAAATTATTGAGAATGAGTTGAGATTTCTTTTGAATAAACCTCCTGAAATATTATCTCCAATATATACAATTTAATTTTGTGCTTCTTTCCTAATAAAAAAATTCCTTTCTTTGATACCATAGAAAAAAGTAATATTTTGCTGATTAGTAACTTAGAATGAACTACACTTACTATCTACTCAAGGTTGGATATGAAGAGGATTGAATTCTATTTACAAATACTAGTTACGGGCGAATTTGTTTTTATAGCAAAAACACTTGAAAATTAAATAGTATATATCTTCGTAATATATCATTAAAAGATGAGAATAATAATAACACGACGTAAAGAACAAAGAAGATGGTAATAACAATAATAATAATAATGCTTTGGAGCAAGTTTGAGATTGTTCTTGTCACCTTACCGGTCATTTTCATTTTGTGGATATTCATTTTAACCTTAATGTAGGATATTTGTATTATGCTTATGGGCTTTGTGAACTTGCAAAATAACACATTACAACTTTACTTATTTGGTGATGTGGGTCTCTAAAAGTACAAAATAGTGTGATTATAAAAATTACTTAAAGTTAACGAGTTTAAATTTTACTAAAAAATATAGGTTTCGTCACTTAATAGATATGTTATGAGATACAGATGATTGATTTATTAAAATTGAAGACTTAATTTACTATTATGTTAGTGAAATTATAATTATCAAATTTAAATAAGTTTCGACGAATTTATTACATTTTTAAACAAAATAAATATTTCACAATAATTATTTTTTCTCAGTTAAAGTATCTACAATGAATTTAAAACTTGATATAATATTTCTCTATTAAAATAACACCGATCATAACAGTAGTAACAACGACATTAGGCTTGGAGCAACTATTGCAATAATTATGACTTGTAGGAATTGAATATTGGTGGTAATACCAATAATGATATCAATTTGAATGGTGGTAATGGTAAAGCAAATAACGAAATAGTAATAGGTGGCAGTAATAGTAATAGTTGTATAGTAGAAATGACAATATTAATAGTGGTTGTTA